TGTGTGTGTGTGTGTTGATGTGGTTGCTGAGCTCAAAAGGGATGGGTCTTGTAACTGATCAGCCAGGTTTTTTTTTGCTGTGACGGGCGCACGGAGCCCTCTACTGACCAGATGTTGAACAGGGAGTGTGGAAGTGGATGCATCAGCAAGAAAATGAGTCACTTCTGCCCAGTTCATCTAAAAAACTTCATTAATAAGTGACACAGTAGACGTCGCTGCCTCTGAGATTTTGAAAATATGCTCAGTGCACCGGACCGCTTGTTCAACTCGGGTGTAGAGCGTCTCACTGGTGGACATGTGGAAATGTAATTAACTGAGGAAATGTGATTCCCGGGACCCCATGTGCTGGTACGCAGTCCTCTGTGGGCCTCTGCCTGGTTCAAGTAATCCAGGATAGGCTGGTTAACACTGGCACGGCCTATTCTTGATTACTTGTTTCAGGAACCGGCCATTAGCAGCAAAACGGATGGAAATAATAAGTTGATGGCACAAATGTAAAGAGCTTTAAATGGCAGTCCTGAAGGTAAGACTGCTTCCTGACGCTGTGTCTTTCTTTCACAGGTGTATGTCCTGAAGAGGCCGTATGTGGATGAGTTCCTGCAGAGGATGGGAGAGTTGTTTGAATGTGTGCTGTTTACAGCCAGTCTCGCAAAGGTACTTCACATCAGATACTGAAATAGATCCTGAAATAGATATTCATATTTTATTCAGCGCCGAGTTTGATGTAATGTCTGATCTATCAGATGCTGTTCTGCTCTCTCTCTCTCTCTCTCTCGCCTTCTTAGTTCTCCTCTCACTGTGATAGCAGCTGCTTAACATGCTGTTAGTCACTTCAATAGACGCCCTCCTCACGTTTAAAGCTGTAGTTTGTTTCTGTGCTCGTCTGGAGCCGGTTGCACCAGCGCCACATAAGTTCAAACTTAACCCAGTTATAACGCAGGAACTTGTTCTTTATTTGTGCATGTAATCAAATAAAACTGAAGAGAATTAAATATACAAACAATGTAAGAAAATGCACAGAGGGGAAGAAATAAAGGAGGAACCCACCCAACACTGAAAGTAAAGATAGTTGTGTATGCTGGCCCCAAATTTATAGACATATTCTTTTAAATATCTAGAAAAAAAGAGAAGAAAATACAATTTCCAGGAACAGGAAATATAAAAAAATTAAAATACCAAGGAAGAAACAGAAATAAAAACAATGACTACAATAACGTATATTTACACTGTATCGTACCTCGTTTACATGATACTGAACTCCGTCAAGAGACGTTGTTTCAGGTCTGACTGCGAAGTGAAGCAGAAAAGCTGTTCCATATGACGGGACACTGTGTCCACAACTGTCCAGGGTTATTTCTGTAGAGCTGACCAGTGATAACAGTGGATCTGAGACCTAGTAACAAAGGAGCTGAAGTTTATTGACGGTGAACAAATAACTTCAGGGTTTGAAATAAGTAGTGGAGATTTACGCCTAATGAAATCAAAATGTGTTGTACTAAATATTTACACGCACAAACTTCCAGATACAACTGCTACGTAGCTACCAGCAATGATGTAAACTGGGTTGAAATTACTGACAAAAACACTATAATGTACCTCAGATTACTAAACGTTACGCTAATAACAACTAAACTAGTTAATAACTCATCTTAAGTCAGTATAATCGTATATTTCCCTCTCAGTCCATAATGCAACAACACTGCTAACTCTGATTAAACAACCATATAACACATATTAATTATGTATTAAGACATGTATACAAATAGTCTGATATGTTTTTTTGGCCAAAAAAGTCTAATTTTCTCATTTAAATCCTTAAAAAAGTCATCTACTCCTTCTCTCTCATTAAAAACTACTATAGGAGTCTATAAATATGCACATTTTGTTCATTTCTAAAGTGTCCTCCTTCACTGTAAAGTCCATTCTCAGTGTCTGTGCACTGGTGGATCTCACTGTACAAGTTGAATCCAGGACCAGACTCTCGTAGACTCTCACACATAAAGGATTTATGAGTACCTGGTGCAGCCGTCAGACGAGTAGATTTTAGTTGTGTTGAGGCTGTTTCTATCTGCTGTCAGAGTGAACGACCACCGTTTGTAGAAAGATAGTCCAACTTTACACAACCCTGCTTTTCCCTCTCCCTCCCCCCGCCCCCCCTCGGCCTCCTTCAGTATGCAGACCCAGTGACGGACCTGCTGGATCATTGTGGGGTATTCCGGACCCGGTTATTCCGGGAATCTTGTGTATTTCACCAGGGCTGCTATGTGAAAGATTTGAGCCGCCTGGGCAGAGACCTCCACAAAACCCTCATCCTGGATAACTCCCCTGCCTCCTACATCTTCCACCCTAATAATGCTGTGAGTTCTCATCTGAGTTTCCCATCATTCAAAACATGTGGCGCCCGTTGTTAGACCGCTGCCTCGTCGCGGCCTCAGAGGCCTGGACACTGTGGGACAGAAGCATTGTGCAAAGGATAACTTGTTTGTACTAAAGCCTGACAATGTGAGGTTAGCTTTTACAGAACGATACTTATACAGATTATGAGTAGTTGGCAAATTGCTGAGATTAGTAGATTTAGTCATTGATGTTTTGAGAGATATTCATTGTTTAAAGTGTCAGGGCTGCAACTAGTTATTATTTTCTTCACTGAGAAAACTGCAGATTCTGGATTTATTGTTTGTAAAGTGGCACATTATAATTATAAAGTCCAAGGTGACACCAGCAGATGCCCCGTTTTGTCCTAACAGCAGTTTAAAATCCCAAAACATTCAGTTTAGTCTCGTATGTGAGAAAGAAAAGCAACAAATTCTCACAGCTGAGAAGAATTTTTTTGCATTTTTGCTTGAAAATCAACTAAAACGATCTGTCGATTATCATAATAGTTGCTGAAGGATTTTCTAGTTCTAATCCTGATTTGTGGAAATCTACTAAATCTACACTCAGGGCCGATTGTAATTGTACACCTCTGCTGAAACAGAACTTAAACAGAACTGTATGTGCTGCCAGGTGCAGTTTGTATGTTTGAATCTGAGGTGCATAAAAGCAGTTTGTGACTGAGTGTGTGTTCGTCAGGTTCCTGTGGTGTCATGGTTTGACGACGTGGACGACGCCGAGCTGCTCAACCTTCTGCCTGTGTTTGAAGAACTTAGTCAAGCTGATAATGTTTACACCCGGCTGGACCAGCTTCGTGGACAATAAGCTCTCAGTGGACCTGCTCGGCCCCTGCTAGAGCTCCGGCTTGAAACCTCTTCAGCTCCGATAGAAGCGTACGCTGAGAATAGATACTAGAGTTCTCAGACGCTGTTCTGCTAGCCGCTGCACAAAATCCTCTGTTTAGAAAAATTGTATTATCAGCGTTTTTTAAGGAAATTCCAAGCCTGGAAAACACAATGTGTTTGGCTCAATCGAAACTATAGATTGCAATCTGAGGCCTTTCCTCTGAACCTCAGTGCTGACATTATTGACAACCACTATTTGAAAGCACTATGAGAAAGAGCGGGAGACAACAACCAAAGCAGTCCCATCACAATCACTCCAGTTAGTATGAATATTAAACGTGGTTCTTTTGCCAAAGCAGAAGCCTGCCTGCCCTGACTTGACTTTTGGACAGTGTTTTTTTTTTTTTTTTTTAATGATTGTGCCTTTTAAGGAACAACAACAACAAAAAAAACAAAAAAACAGCTCTTTTTTGAAATTTCCACCAGATTTTATACATTTATTGATTTCTTTTTATAGGTTGTTTTTATAAGGAAATCTATTTTTAAACGGTGAACATGGTTCTTCTATGCAACCCAGTTGTGTAATTACATGGACAGTACCTCCTAAGCAGCCAGTCAATAATTGCATTCAGCAGATGTAAACATTACTGTAGCCTTATTTTCCTGTAAATGAGCAGCAAAACAAAAAGTGTATTTTACTTATTTGTACTATAAACATAATTTCTACAAAAACATGCAAATATACATCACTTGTGGTCAGATTGCTATTTGATATACTGGTTATAAGTTAAGTAAACAGGGTGAAATCTTGTCTTTGATGGTCAGTTGAAAGCAGACACACTGGAGTATGTTGGCACATAGGACGGCCATAAATGCCACAGTTTTCAGTAAAGGTTTTAATAATAGTTAATTTCTTACGATGTCTTCTCTTTTTCTTACTATATGACAAACAACTTGCACTTGTTTTACATTGACAGTGCTGAAAGTAAAAAAACAAAAACAAACTGTGCCTTTTTGAAATTGGGACAGAGAATGGTGTTCTGCCTGAAAAGAGATTTGTAGGCCTACACAGTCTGATGTGTCATGCTGAGCGTGAGAAAACACTGTCAAGAGCAAGTGTAATGCCATGTGGCTCTGGTACTTGCAGTGCAACACTTGAAAATATCAAATTTGATTTTTTTAGCATGTGTGAGCGTTTTGTTTTCTATATTTATTGGCCTGTATTGTCCAGTACTTCTTAATGCTTCTTAAACATTTTTGTATTGTAATCCATTTGCCTACTTTGAGGCTGGCCTTGTGTTTAACTCTTTATCTGTGCCTAAATAACATTTTGCTGTCAAAGTTTATTGATAATTCAAAAACTTACGCAGTTAAAATCAAACAAATACATGTAAGTCCAAGATTCAATCATGCAAGATTTATTATTTTTTTCCTTTCCATTTTAAATTCAGTACAACAGATATTTTGTAGGGGTTTGTTTTCTGGGTAATATGGTTTTTCTATGATGTTTTAATGTCTGATGCAATTATTGCCTGCATGTTAACTAGTAAATGACAATGAATTTGTACCAGTTGTGATGACCAAAAGTATTTGTTTAGACAGTCACAATTTGTCTTTGTGTATCAGAATAAATCAAAAACTCATTTTGTCTACCTGATCTGACCAAAACTCTAAAAGACAAGGTGCTACCAGTTTTTATTTTAAAATAAAAATTGGTTATATTGTACTTTTGTGTGTGTTTTTCTCCACTGTGACACTAAAGGACACTTCATTAGTCTGAATGTATACAATTACTTTTGCTGTATGTCCGCTTATAAAACTATTAAGCATCTCTTTAGTTTTAAATATGCTGCAGGATCCAGTTCTATCACGTCTTTTTTTAACCATCTTTACTCGCACACATGAACATGTCTAAAATTTGGCCACTCCAAATATATTTAGCAATATTTATTTTAACACACACAGCTCTGTGCTTAAGAACTGTGAAGTATTTTAAGTGTATGCTTCTTTAAACACCTACTCCATCACACTTCTGAGAGAACTGTTTTACTTTATTACATTTATCTGACGGCTATAATTACGACTTCAGATTAAGACATTAAAGTGATTTATTACATGTCATGGGGTAACCACCCTTTAACAGTTTCATTAAATTATTCATTTGTTCATAATTAAATATGGAAAAGGGTTATTCTGCATAATTACTTTTACTTTGGGTACATTTAAATGTTAATACTTTTGTACTAAATTAAAGTTTGTATATTTTACACTGTGGTATTGCTTCTTTTACTTAAGAATATTAACAGATACTAATTTTACATACATGTATTTTTTAATAACCAACCTTTATAAGGCTAATAAATAAAGATTAAAACTTTAAAGCTGATGTAAAATGTGTTGTTTTAATGTAAACACTGTCGCCCGTTTAAACGCATTGCATGCAGTTGCACCATATATGCGTCATATTGATTATGTCTGTAAGTTTGCATCAGCTTTGTTTGTATTCCGTGAACATGTGATGGTAGAGACAGTGGGGTCTTTGTTTTACATTTATTAAACGTGTGGTCGTTAAACTGTGGAAAACATGTGTAGAGAGAAATATGTCTTTTTGCTTTAAACGTTTTTTATGGTGCAGCTAGATTTATGAGTCGGCCATTTTAGGTGTACCGGGGACATTACTCGGTGACACCAGGAAGTGCCTTTTAAACGTAAAGGATCCCTAGTACTTCTTTAAATAATAATAGTTTAACGTACAGTAATTTAAAAAATAGACGATTTGTTTATTTATGTGGATTAAAGACGCGGGTAATCCCTGTAGTTTTTATTTTACGTGCGGGCATCGGAACTACAACTTTCTGGGCGTTTCCATGGTGACATCATGCGAGCTGACTGACACGTACTGTTTGCGATGTATTTTTTTTTTTCTCTCTCCCAGGACGGCGAAGTCATAACCCGCCCTCCTCTGCTTCTGATTGGCTCACACCTGACATTCTGACGCATCACGCCTGAAATCCAACCAACCAAACCAATGAAGGCAACGAATTCCAGCCAATCAGAGGCCGAGCAGGGCGGGTTGTGACTTCGCCACCCTTGGAACAAAAAAATAAATAAATTAGCGTTCTTGTTTTGTTAAAAAAAAAAAGTGAAGCAGGAAGAAGAAAGGCAGTGAAACAGAGAGAGGAGAGACCGATAGGAAAGCTAAGAGGTATGTACGTTATAGCAGCACATTGTACGCGTTTTCTCGGTGTGTATTATTAAAGCTAGCTGTAACATTAACGACGTTATCTGCTGAAGTGTGAACGAAACGTCGAGTTGTGTTGACAGGCGATAAAAACGCAGGCGAGCTAACGTTAGCCAGCCAGGCTATCGCTCCGTTAACGCTCAATGTTAAACTGCTTATCCACGTTAACTGTTAAAATAATACTCACACGAGTCAAACACACTTATTATTATTTTATTTTTTTGTCTTTCTGACCGTTGCTCTTGTTTCCAAATAACATATTTATTTATGAATGCAGCGGTTCAGACTGAACGAGCTGCAGCAGCGAATTGAGCGTTGATCAGAAAAAGCTTGTGAGGTTGCTCAACACGATTTCAGTGTTTATTAGTTAGTTTGACATTTAGAGATAACCTGTTGTGTAATTTAATGATGCAAGCCTCTCCGTATGTCACTAAACTACGCACTTCTGATCTGCGACATCCGTGTGTAACTTCTTCTGAAGCTGTAACGTTATTTAAATTACTTCCTTTCACAGTTACACTTAAATACAAATACTTAAACAATAGCAACACAAATAAAGGGTTTTATTACATCTAACTGTGCGTGTTATGCTTTTAAAATAATTCTTCTTTTGATATTGCTGCTGTAGTTTATAACTTTAATGTGTTTTTTTTATATGTAAAAACAAAATGTAACCTTTTTATATGTTACTAACTACTGTAAAATAAGATGAACTAACAGAGAAATAGGCTTAACTCAGGGAGTATCTCAAACTATTTAACTTTATTATAACTTTAATCCTTGTCTACTTCTATCTCTGGTGTCAAACAGATTAACTAAGATCCCTAATCTTCTGATTCATGAGCTCCGTTGTATAAATGCCATTAACTGTGTTCTTCCATTTGCTAAATCTGTGGCGTTATAATAGTTTACAGTTTAAAAAAAAAGTCCATAACTTTGTTTATTTAAGCTGGAAGAGAATAAAACATGGCAATAGTTGGTTTCTGCTTCCACACGATGACTCAATCTGAAGAGTAAAGCACCTGAACATCAACAGATGTGTGTGTGTGTGTGT